CCAATCCTGGATCACGACTGTTCTGGGCAGACCTGTCGGTGGCCCCCAGTCCCGACTGGCTCCCCCCAGGCTGTCTGTAGCCTGTGCCGCTCTAACCAGCCCCCAGCCCCCACGGCCACACTCTGTGTCTCTGTCCTGCACCTTGAGGCTGGGCCCCCAGTGCTCGTTCCCGGCATCAGCCCTCCTGGCTCCCGCACCGGGAGCCCCGGGGCCGAGTGAAGCCCACCAGCCTATTCTTGAACTCTTCTTGCCACCGTAGCAGGCCAGAGCTCACTGTGCCTGGAGGTGCCCCATTTCTTGGGGGGCAGACACCCGGCTGGCATCACAGTTCCTGGTCTGACCCTGGAGTGGGCGTCTGGCCTTTTGTCTGCCTAGCACCCTCTCACTGACTCTTCTCGCAGGGACCTGCTCTTTCATCTTTAATCCAGTGATTTGGAGTCGGGGGACGGTTGCTGGTAGTCAGGGGTCCCAGTGCCACGGCCAGTGAGTGGTCCACAGGCAAGAGGGCGGCTCAGACTATGCCCATGCATGTCCTTCCCTTGGAACATCAGATACCCTGAGAAGGAGGGGCTGATCCTTCTCCAGACAGATGGACACAGAGATGGGCAGGGGAGACTCTGCCCATCTGAGCTCGGCCCAGATTCCCCTAGCTGGAGGGGGTGGGGAGATGAGGGTCTCACTAGAGCCAGTAGGGCCGTCCTGCCACCAGCAGGCCCGGAGCGGGGCGGCGCAGGTGAGGGCCAAGCCTCGGTCTCCCTGGTTCCAGAGGGTGGGGCCACCTCCCTAACAGGCCCAAGGGACACAGCATGGAGCCAACAAGGATGATTCTCAAGCCTTAAAATGTAAAGCGATTTACCCGGCTAGGTTTCAGACTTGGCTGGGATGCATGAGATTTTTTTTTTTTTCCCTTCCTATTTCTCTGTTTGGGAATGGGACTATCCAACCTGTGCATGTCCCCCCATTGTATTTTTTTTATTATGATCTTTAAGTAATGTCTACGACACCCAATGTGGGGCTTGAACTCAAGACCCTGAGATCAAGAGTCACATGCTCCAACAACTGAGGCAGCCAGGCGCCCCTCCCCATTGTGTTTTAAAAGCAGGACAACTTGTCATCTGGTTTCCCAGGGTCACAGAGAGAGCAGAACTTTGCCCCAGGACGAATCCTACCATGACTCTCACCCATACCTGATTTGGATAATGTAGACACTGGCATTTGGGGCTAAGAGTTGATGCCAGAGTGATGAAGACTTTTGGAGATGTTGGGATGAGGTGAATATATTTTGCACGCGGGAAGGACATGAATTTGGGGGGCCCAGGGGACAGACTGTTATGGGTTGCATTGTGTCCCCCAAAGATGTGTTGAAATCCTAACGCCCAGTACCTCAGAATGTAGCCTGATTTGGAAACTGGGTCTTTACAGAGGTAATCAAGTTAAAATGAGGTCTTAGACGGGGGCCTGGCTAGCTCAGTCGGAAAAGCATGTGGCTCTTGACCTCAGGATTGTGAGTTCAGGCCCCACACTGGGTGTAGAGATTACTTAAAACTATAAAAGTAAAAATAAAGTGGGGTCTTAGAGTAGACTCTAATCCATTATGACTCGTGTTCTTATGAAATGGGGACATCGGGACACAGAGACATGCACAGACGGAAGGCAAGGTGGCCACCTCCCGGCCAAGGAATGCCTGAGGCTGCCAGAACCTCAGACAGAGGCCTGCAGCAAAGCTTCCCCCGCTTCAGAGGGAGCAGGGCCCTACCGACGCCTCGATTTTCACTTCTAACCTCCAGAACTGTAAGACAGTACATTTCTATTGTTCCAAGTCATTCAGTCAGCAGTAATTTGCGACAGCAACCCTAGGAAAATAATCCAGGCCCTGGGCCCCCTGAAGTCCTGTGGGCCACTTGGAAGATGTACTTTAAGACACCGCCTGGGAGGCAGCCTGAAAAACAGTCTACCCCAAAGCTTACCAAACTTCTACTTCCAGTGACCAGTTCACAGGAAATGAAAGGACAGAAAGACTGTGTAAACATGACACCCTGAGAATGTGATCAGCAAAACTCAGACTGTGGGAAACTCCGCAGGACAAAGGACTCGGTTTCTTCAACCACAACAAACACTCAAAGGCAGGGGGCGCCTGGCGGGCTCAGTGGGCGGAGCTCAGACCTCTCGATCTCAGGGTCCTACACAGGACCCCAAAGTGGGTGTGGAGACTACTTTTAAAAAATGCAAAGGCAGGGATGCCTGGGTGGCTCAGTAGGTTAAGTGTCTGCCTTTGGCTCAGGTCGTGATCCCGGGGTCCTGGGATTGAAACCCGAGTCAGGCTCCATGCTCAGCGGGGAGTCCGCTTCTCCCTCTGCCTCCATTCCGCTTGCGCTCTCTCTCTCTCTCAAATAAATAAACCTTAAAAAAAAAATGCAAAGGCAAAAAAAGTGGGTCATGGAGGGGGCTGTAGATGAAAAGGGACTCAGGAGGCAGATCACCAGCTGCAATACTTGGAAGTTTATTTGGAACCGGATTCAAATGCACAAGGTACAAAGAAACTATTTGTGACATAAACAGAGAGTTTTGAATACAAATAGGATATTAGTTGAAATCCAGGGATTATTGTTAATTTTACAAGGTGTCATCATGGTATTGATGCTTTTTTTTTTTTCTTAAGATTTATTTGAGGGGCGCCTGGATGGCTCAGTTGTTAAGCGTCTGCCTTCGGCTCAGGTCATGATCCCAGGGTCCTGGGATCGAGCCCCACATCGGGCTCCCTGCTCCGCGGGAAGCCTGCTTCTCCCTCTCCCACTCCCCCTGCTTGTG